CATCATCATCCTCTTCATCAGCAGCAGCATCGATTCACTCGGAGCCGAAGCAAACTCTTCTCAGGGCTCAGCCGAGCAGGGGGCACGGGGAGCAAAGATTCCCGCTGAATGTGGCCCCAGGTTTCAAGCTTTGAGCCCTCGGCTGCTTCCGGCTCTCATCGGTGACCCTGAACAGAATCAGAATCAGATACAACTCCCCCTCCGACCCTCAGCATCAACCGTGGTCGCGGCGATATTATTTTCAAAGAGTTTAAAATGAGATTGCATTGTCACGTACGCTTAGGTCTGCAGCAACAACAAAAAAAAAACTAAACTATTGGCAGCAGGAGCAGCCTAGGAAATGAAGGTTGGCTTTGCGAGTTTGCGAGTGCCGTTGTGCTTTTTTTATTGTTCCGTGATGTGGAACGAGCGGGTGTTTTGATCGTGACCTTGAGAAGTGATATTCTGATGCAGCCTGTGTTGCCACCTTCCGCCAAGGCAGAGTGATCTCCTGCTCATCTCCTTTTACAGAGCCGAGACAGTGGTGTGAAATTCCACATTCTTTTGCCGGAGGTGGGGGGGGGCTATGTCCATAAGATAACACTCCTGTGGATTTCCCCACAAGGTGGTACCTATTTGATCAAACCAGGAGGGGATGATGGGAAGAGTCATCGGGACTTGAACTCGGCGGCCTTCCGATTACGAGCCGCTCGCTCTACCGCTACGACAACAAAAAAACTGGGGCATCTCTTTGCGAAGAAGAAGATGAGGAATATTTTGCCTTCGCGGAAGCGGGGAGGACGCGCGTGTGAACGTATCGTCTGGAGCAGTGGTGCGTTATTGTTCTTATGTGTAATGCTATCACGGCACTGACAAGAGCCCTGCAGACTTGCATCGAGCCCCATGGACTAGAATAGAGACCCAGAGACTTGGGAGCTTTCCATGACCCAGTGCGGTGAGACTCGGAGAGGGCTTTGTGGGTAAAGGACACCATTACTGTTGGGTTGTACCGCGTGTTGTTCGGCGCGATGTCCGACCTTTCAATCCACGTGCTGAAGAAGCTCCCAGCCCGCGTAGAGATCCACTCGCTCACACAGACCGACCCCGTCGACTCGCACAGAGACCCATCGACTCGCACAGAGACCCATCGATTCACACAGAGACCCATCCGACTCGCACAGAGACCCATTGACTCACACAGAGACTCATCCACTTGCACAGAGACCCATCGATTTACACAAAAGACCCAGAGACTCACATAGAGACCCGTAGACTCGCATAGAGACCCATTGTTCAGCACCGTGCCTGACATGTCGAGCCATGTGCTGAAGAAGCCTACCAGCATGTGCAGTGAAACGTCAGACATCGAGCCAAACAGCCCGTAGCGGTACAACCCAACACACGCATGGGAGAGCTATAAGTACATCATCATTATTATTATTTAGAGGGAGAACAGGGTGACTGATTTTTGAATCGGGTCATCGTAACGTCGTGGCCCCATAGTGAGCACGAAAGGGCTGCTAGAAGTGGCTTGAGGACACCGTGTGATTCTGTGAAGGGTTGACCCTTCACGGCCTTTCACTGGCATGCTGCGTCTCTCACCGCTCTGTGGGGGAGATTGGAATGAGAGAAAATTCGGATGTATAGAATGTCCCAGTGCGACCGCATCTTTTCTCATTTTTGTACGTTTAAAAAAAAAAGATATTTCCCCCAATTGTATCCCCGATTGTGCGATCAGCATCTGGTCGTAATGGGGCAAAGAATCAGTTCAGATCTCCCGCAGAGCAGCTCACTGGGTCTTCGTGTTAGAGAACACGCCCACGGAAGAGGATATCACAGAGGTACCTTTGACTTCCCTTCAAGTCACCTCTTCCATAATACATGTTTTTTGGGTTAGATCACGTAAATATATTAATGTGTCATTAAACCCGCCACCACCCGACACAGCCAATTAGTATGGTTTGTCACGTAAACAGAACGTGCTGATTCGTTACTGGCTGTCTGATGACGCTAGTTGTAATTACTGGTGAAACGTCGTGCTCAGATTGTAAATGTTGTGGCTTTGCTCTCCAACACACCGGTGTGCTGTACTAGTAACGAATTGGCATGTTCTGTTCACGTGGCAAACCTTACTAGTTGGCTGTGTCGGGTGGTGGCGGGTTGAACGACACATTTATATAGTTACGAGCTCTAACCCAAAAAACAAAGTGTATTGTGGATGATATTGGTCGCGTGTTAAGACACCTCTTGTCCACGCGCAGCGGAGGGCAGCACTTTCCCACCCGCTCGGCTACTGAGAGCAATTCTCTCAGGAGTGCCGTGCATCTGTCTGTTAAATAAAAGATCGCTTTGGAGGAAACCGATTAATTGATGCTGCAGCTGCTTCGGTGGCAGGGGTGCACAATCAAGAAAAACAACTCAACACCCTTGTCAATAACAATGCTCTGGCCGTTAAATGAATTACATATATGTGATAGGTGGCGTTTTTGGTCATGGTCCCTTTCTGTAATGCATAGTTGTATATATGTATTGTCACGTGCTAGCTTTCGGGACGGGCCTATTATGTTTATAATTTTCGATTTAAAGCTTTCGTGACTGCAAGGATTCATCTTCTTTGGTTCTTTCGGTAAAGTCACCACGTAGAATGAGAATAAAATAATAAATTGATAAAATAAAATAACACGATAAAATTCTCACGACGTTTCGGCCACAACACAAGCGGCCTTCATCAGGTGAAGGGACGAGACTGTCTGGAGGACAGCGCTGGAGCTTGGCTGTGTTCGCTCCAGTGCTGTCCTCCAGACAGTCTCGTCCCTTCACCTGATGAAGGCCACTTGTGTTGTGGCCGAAACGTCGTGAGAATTTTATCGTGTTATTTTATCTTATCAATTTATTATTTTATTCTCATTCTACGTGGTGACTTTACCGAAAGCACCAAAGAATATGTTTATAATTCCTTTTCAAGACCGTACGGTGTTACCGACGGACGGTATAGACGTGGGGGGGGTGGGGGGGGGTGGGGGTGGGGGGTGCCTTTGTTGTCTACGTGCCACCTTCCCGGCAGGAACGTTGGAGTGAGCGCCTGCCACGCGGCAGCTCATCCCCTCCCGTGCACCGCACGCTTCGGTGGAGGCACCGAAAAGGTCGCTCGCCTCTCCACTTGCCGATGCTGAACGCAGAGGAAAGCAACTGGCCGTGCGGCTGGGTTCAACGCTTGGGCTGCTGTGCGCTCCCTGCTCCCGCGGGCCCAGCGTCGTGCCTACAAGATTCTGCTGTCGCTGTTCGCCATACATATTGTTTAAAAAATGAATAGATAAATATGCAGCGGTAACCACAAACCTTGGGCTTTGGATGTATTGGGTGGTGGCGGGTTTAACGACACGTTTATATTTACGGGAGCGGTAGTGTACCGGTTAGCGCGCTGCGCTACGAACCTGGCCACCCGAGTTCGATTCCCGCTCATGGCCAACACCAACAGTGACGATTATCTGAACCGGTCCTGGGCCTCCCCCAGATTGACTCAGCCTCAAATGAGCACCTGATGCGGTGTGTAAACGTCGCCACTGGGGAGACAAAGGCGGTCGGACGTGATGCTGGCCACCGACCGGCTCGCGTGCCCTGCCGGCCTTTATAGATGTTACTCGATAACAGCACTTGCCCCAACAATCTGTTAAGGCTGTACGGGGGAACTTTGTTGTTATATTTACGCGATCTAATATAAAAAAAAACCTTTCCTGTGAATAAGATTGGTCGCGAAAGCCTCCTCCTACTACCCCTACTGAGTGTGAAATTGAGTTGTGATGAGGACGAAGGACGTTGGCGTAATCGATATGGACGGACAAAACCGCCTGGCGGCCCCCATTTGCGAGCTAGGGAACAGACAGAAGAGCAGGGGGAACGGAATTATGAAGACGCGCGAGAGAGAGAGAGAGAAGGAGAGCGAGACAGAAGGAAAAAAAGAGATAGGAAGGGGAAGAGCGTGACGGGAGGCAATTACCCAATGGGGTGAACGGATCGATCCAGCAGCAACGAGTTGGCAAACGGAGAGCACGAATACCTGGAACCCGTCAGCAAGCACCACCACATTGCTGTGCAATGCTTCCTTAAGCCCAGGTCAACGGTGCAATTCTTAAATCCACCTCCCACGCCCCCCCCCCCCCCCCCCCCCCACTCTGTCTCTGTCCACCGAGCAGTATTAATGGGTACGCCAGGATCAGGCGATCAGCAGGCTACATTGTGGTGTGGCCAGCATGGAGGAGTAGGCCAAATCACCCTCTATAAAGGCTGTCCGGAGCTCTCTCAAGCTGATGCCGTTTTGCCAGCGGTGGCGTGAGCACGGCATTTCAGGGCTGCACCTTTACCTACTGTGAGCGCTGTGGTCTCGACGGGCTCTCGTTTGCTCGTGAATGAAGGTCATCTCAGTCTTTGGGTTTCCCTGTGGAAGACTTCGGGGTCTGTCAATCTATTTACCGCTGTCCAATTCCATGGGTGTCTGCGTAAGTCTGAACATCTTTGTAAGTTTGTGAATATACGCGAGTCTGTGGCCGCGCATGTAAGTCTGTGGGTGTCTTTGTTAGTCTATGGGGACCTGTGTAAGTCTGTGAGTATCTCAGTAAGCGTGTGAGTTTGTGTAAGCCTTTGACACCATATTTAGTCTGTGGGTCTCTGTTTAAGTCCACATAAGTGTGCTGTCTTGCTGTCCTTATTTCAGCCCAGGTCTGCAGCAAGGTAGAGACTTTTGGTCTCATGGGCTTTCGTTTGCCCATTAATGAAGGTCACCTATGGGTCTCTACATAAGTCTGTGAGTCTCTATGGAAGTTTGTCTCTTTTTTTAATAAATCCATTGCTCTCTTTGTCGATGAACCGGCATCCGAGAGCATGTCGTCCGCGGAGATGGACCGATGATTTAAAGTTACGTGCACGAGCTCGTCGGATTGCGGAGATGGCGACGGCTCTGGGGAGTCCTTCATCTAGCAGTGGCTAGAGCACGATTGGTGATGGTGACGATGATGTTGCCGCAGGACGACGTCCCAAGGTGGCACCGGCGCCGCCGGGGGTGTGGTGGAGGGGCGAGCGGGACGGTTCCCGCCCTGGCCAGAGTGGAGCGACGCGGAGGTCAACGCGGAGAAGTGGGATGGACCGCGTGCTGGGGGCGGCAAGGAGAAGGGCAGGAGCCCCAGCCTGGTGCGGCACTCTCGTCCAGTCTGTCCATCCGTCTGTCCGTCCGTCCATCCATTCGTGCGTCTGTCCGTGCATCCGTGCGTGCGTCCGTCCATCTGTCCTTCCATCTGTCTTTCCATCTATGCTGTCCATCCATTCGTCAATACATGTGTTCGTCAACCTATCTGTCCGAGTGTCCGTACATCTGTCTGTCCGTCCATCCATCTGTCCGTCAATGTGAATCGTGGCTTGTTTTTGACTAGCTGGGGCGATGAGTCGATGGCATGGATTAACCAACTGCTGAATTGTCATTGACTACTTTGTTTGTGGTCGATTACTCGGGCTCTTGTAGAATGATTATTTTCTTAATATGAATCTTAACTTTTTGTGCTAATTTATGCACTATTATGATAACCCCCAATCCAAATAAAATCATGTTTGGGTCCATTAACCTATTGAACCTTCACGACAAAAGTTTTTCAGCTGCATTTTGTTCGGAAGAAAATGCTGGAATAGTTTAATCGTCCTTGAGTCTCATCAGCAGGGTTTTGTCCAGGGTTTCCCTTGCATCTATATGTGCGGCCCCCAGCATTATCCCCTTGTATTCATGGCCTCTGGGACGCTAAGCCGGATTTTAGCCTGGTTCGTACTGACAGGTGACCACCAGGGGCTTATTTGGTGTTGTAGGCGCGTGGCTGCTGCGAGGTCGTGGCCAGGATGTGGCGGTGCTGAGCGTCTCCGGGGCTTCTCCCGTTTCCTCCTCCAACACGGAGACAAACTCTCATTGACTAACGCATGACCGAATTCAGAGCCAAACATCGCAACGTAACGTCGGCCTCCTGAAAATTGTTGTTTATTATTACCATGGCTAATATTTTCTGTCCAGAAGGCCAATTAGTTAGTGAACTTGAACGTCATTTATATTTCATTGCGGCAAAGAAACAGAAGATCATTCCGTCCCCCCCTCCACTCCAAACCTCCCCATCCCAAACCTCCCCACCCCATGCTTGTTCATCGCCACGCTGGTAATTTATTACCGGGCGGTAATGAATTTGCTCAAGCTAAATCTATATTGTTAATTTCATAGTCTCGGACGCGGCGGCCGTTCCCGGGCGGAAGGGCGCCTCGCTTGCTCGCTCAATGAGCCGCGGCGACGTGGAGCGTCGCGTCGCGGCGTTCAAAGGTCAAAGAGACAAAAGGCGATAAACGAAACGACGGCACGGCTCCCGGCCGACTTCCGCCGCCGTCGTCGAAGGCGCAGCCACCCCCCCGGCTGCGTGTCGCTCTCGCCACTGCTGGCGGAGGGGTTTGGAATCTTCGGTTGTCGCGGAGGGATCGGATGAGCTACGAAGCTCTTTTTTGCTGATGTCCAGCAGAGCCCCCCCCCCCCCCCCACCACCACCACCACCACCCTCCATCCCTGTGTGTATTTGACCTGCTCTTTCATGCTTTGAAAGACGTCGTGGAAAGAGGTGGGTGTACCCACGCTTTAGCCCACCGTAGCACGTGCCTGCCGATCGACTTAACTGTGCTAAAGCCATTTACACTGCTGAGTGGACAGACGTAGAAACTCGTCCCATTGTTTTGATCTGGCGCGCCGGGAGTTCGAATCGAACGAACCGTTGACCTCTGGAATATGCGTATGCGTGCATGTTCACATCCTTTCGCACCGTTCGTAGCCAACCGTGCTGATCGGGAGGTGCGGACATTGCGAGGCCCCGACAGCGTCCAGAACAAGGGGTCGGCGAACCAAAATAACAAGAAGAGCCATTTTTGTTTTCGAATTCGGTAAAAATAAATTGCACTGCATGTGAATAACATAACGAAGCAGTCCTTAAAAGAGCCGCCTCCGGAGCCGCAGGTTTTGTCGACCCCCGGTCCAGGGTGAAGCACGACGCTACACCTAACGTGTTGAGCACCCATTGGATGCGGGTGGCCCCTGAGTCCCCACGTTGTCCCGTCTCGCAGAATTTCTTTGAGGACCCCGAAGGCAAGATTGAGCTGCCCCCCTCGCTGAAGGTGCACGCTTGGAAGAGGCCCCAGGACTTCATCACTGACCGCGTGAGTTGGACATCTTTGTTTTGCCGCACATTCACGCTCGCCGCTCTCTCACGCCGTGTGTGGGTGGGGGGGGGAGGAGTAGAGAGAGGGGAGAAGAGATGCAGCCAGAGGTTAAACGAGGTGGTGGGGTGTGGGCGGGCGGACGGAATGGTCTTCTGTTTCTTTGCCGCAACGAAATATAAATAACGTTAAAGTTCAATAAATAACGGGCGGTGCAACTGCCTAGGGATTCACGGTCCAGAGGGGGTGCGGGGGAGGGACCCAGGTGTACCGGGCTACGAAGAGAGGGAGGCATCAGAGAGCGAGGCATTGGAAGAGAGGGAGGCATTAGATCGAGGGGGTATCCATTTCATTACGTGCGGTAGTCACCCATACAAAGCACAAAGACGGTGGTCACCACATCGTGCGCTTTCACATGCGCTTCTGCGGCCGTCTGGAACGCTCTTCCTTCCGATATTAGGAAGCCACTGGGTACTATGCACTTTTAAGTCTAGCTTGAAAACTCATTTCTGTAGAACTGCTTTTTGTGTTTAGTTTGTTGTCCTTCCCCCCGCACCTCCGATTAGCACGGCTGGCTGCATACGGTGCGAAAGAAGTTAAAGATGTTGATACGGGAAGCGCGCGTTCCTTAGGCACGGGCAGGAGGGAACGAGGGCGTCAAGTGAGCGAGGAGAGGCAGGGGAAAAGCAATATCCACGTGGCGGTGAAGAGGGTGCCATCCATTATCTCCCACAGGTCCCAGTGGTGGTGGAGGATGTGACGGGATTTGATCTGCTAACTCCCAACACACATCTCCTGCACAGCGAGGTGAGCATTAAAGAAAGTTATTCCTCCGGCTTTGCCCAGTTCGTTTTCCTGCAAGGAAACTGCGTGCTTCTATTATCTTGTCTCTTGAACAGCCGCGTGTCTCCAACGTGCGTGGGGAACGGTGGCGGGTGGTTAGCACACTGCGCTACAAACCGCTTAAAACCACGGTGACCCGAATATTTGAAACGGTCCTTAGGTCGACTCGAGAGGCTTACGTCTGGTGCGGTGTGTAAACATCAGCGTCCCGAGTTCGATTCCCGCTCAAGGTCAACACCAGTTACGATTACCTGAACCATTCCTTGCTGGGCCTCCGCTAGGTCGACTCATCTGAGTACCTGGTGCGGTGTGTAAACATTGACACTGGAGAGACAAAGGCGGCCGGTTGTGGTGCTGGCAACCCACCACCTCGTGTGCTGTGCCGGTCTTCATAGGTACTCGCTAACAGTACATGCCCCAACAGTCTGTTGAGGATACATAGGACACCTTTGTATGTGTGTATAACACCTACAGCTGCCATTCACCACTATGAGGCGGTGGCATCACCACGGCGCTGCCGCGTCGTAACGCTGTGGTTGTGAGCAGTGCCATTGCTGGGAGGCCGATACTAATTGGTTGTAACCCTCATAGCACTACTCACAGCCACCACAGTGGCCAATTGGGGCTCTGCAAGGGTGCAGGGGGCTGGTGACCACTTCACCTGCAACTCAATTGCCACGAAACTATGAAGAAAAACATGTGTGTGTGTGTGCATACACACACACATAAACAAAGATCCTCTATATAGCCTTAACGGAACTGTTGGGGCAAATCCTTTTTGTGAGCACCTATGAAGGCCGGCACGGCACACGAGGGGGTGGGTGGCCAGAACCACACTCGACCGCCTTTGTCTCCCCAGTGGCGATGTTCACACACCCCCACCAGGTACTCATTTGAGGCTGAGTCGACCTAGGGGACGCCCGGACCGGTTCAGATAATTGTCACAGGTGTTGGCCGCTACAAGGCCGCACTGCTTGCCCCGCTGCACTTTTTACTCCGCTCATCATCGCACGAACCGGCCCTTGCCGCATGATCGCCCACGCGGTTACCGTGGCCATGTGCATCCCGCTTCGCGTCTCCCGCTCGCGTCGCCTCTTGCGTCTCGCGCTTGTGCCGCCCGCTTGCGTCTCCGCTGCCTGGGGGGCATCCCCTCCCCCCCCCCCCCCCCCCACAATCCCCCTCCCCACTCTGTGAGCCGTGGCCGGAGCAGACGACTGTGAGCTGCAGATTTGTCCGTTCCAGATGAAGTGCGAGCAACTGGTGCCGCTGCACCGTCGCCGCTCGCGCGAGCTCTCTCCCGGTGATGCCGAAATGCCGCGCACGTCCCATTGTTTGTTTTTAAACACTTTCCAGCGACTCTACGCAGTGAGCTCGATGGCGTCCAACGCATTGCGTTTTGAGTTTCGAGTTGAGAGCGTTCAACGCGGGGAGGACTCAAGGGACCCGGGATGGGTCTCGTTTTGCAAGAAGAGCGATCTGAATTTGAAAGTGCTATTTGTATTTTACCAGGTAAGGCCCACTGAGCTCTCCGGCTCTTTTTTCAGAAGCGACCTGGCACACAAATGATAGCTCAACGAAGTGGCTTATCACGTGTGAATGTATAGCAGCCAAATACTCTGAACGCATGTTGATTCTAAATATTGAACCCACGACCTCCCGTATACCAGGCGAGGTAATTAACACCTCGCTACCTTGGCGCCCCTGGTTGGTGACGCAGCACTAGCGGTAGCACGTTCGCCGCTTGTTGAAGAGGGTTCACGGTTCGCATCCGGCAGGCCGCCCTGGTTAATCCTGCCGTACGTATCGACCGTACAAATACACACTCTGCGTCTGCTTCACAGTGCATTGACGCTTTCAACCCGAGTCGGAAAGCGCCTGCGACCCCACACCTCAAGCTCTCGAGCCGACATGTTGTTTTTCCTCCCACATTTGCGCAGCCGCTCGAGATGACTCGGTCACGCTTTACCCGCCATCACAGTGCCAGATCGTTCCGTAATGTGCGTCCATTCATTCCGAGCCTTACGTTAGCGGCGCTGGCTCCTCACGCGCACGCGCGCACGCCCACACACCTCTCCTCTGCTCCTCACCAAACGCCGCGACATCTCGTTAGCCGCAGTTGCTGCCGTCTCCCCCCACGGAGCGGCGAGCCCTTCGCGATTGTGTACCAGGGGTCCTATTTTTTGTGTTTTTTTTTCTCTCCGAATATTTTCCCCAAGTCACTGTTGGACTTGCGCTGGGTTGCACGTGACTTAGAAGGCACGGCCCTACAGGGAGAGGTATACTGGATGTGGTGGGCCGGGTACAGAAGCATTTTCCGAGTCGCTGCTAGACTGGAGTAGGTGGTGTGTGACTATTCGTAGCCACGGCTCAGACCCGGCTGAAATTAATCCCTGGAAATTACTCTTACTCTCTGGCCTCTCTCTACGTGCAATGAAGAAGGGCCATTGCTCAAAACGTCGTCTTGGGTGTACTTGTTCCGTTAGACCAACGGTGTTATTGACGAATGTGTTGGGTTCCATTGGTATGCTGTGCTTGTGCACTGCTGCAAATGCAGCAGCCGGTAGCAGCAGCAACAGCAGCATTGACGATTCGTTTGCTTAACACGGATATCGAGCGATGTCGTGTCGTTCCCGGGCGAGTGGTCACTTCGGTGTGTGGAGTGAACAAAATGAGTGCGCAGAGGGGGATGGGGGAGATGCACGCCGGTGGACAGAGGAGCGAGTGGATCATATAAAACACAGGCGCAAGTCAGAGAGAGAGAGAGAGAGACATCACATTGACTGTGAAGCAGGGTAAGTGGGCTTCGGCGGGTCACGCCGCTTACTCTATACAAGAGAGGCAGCAAATCATAGATGGTGGTTTAAAGTGAACGTCTTGAGCCCGGACTGTGGGTCTCCGTGGGATTCCACGGGTCAATTTGCGTGTCCGTGTACGTATGTACGTGTGTACGTTTAACTTCCATTGTACCTTGCATAGCTATTTGGAATCGCGTGGAAGGACAATATTATATATACACACACACGTTATGTATAATATCGACAGGACCGCTCTGTTCAGAACCAGTGGACATATTTAATGCATTGACACCATCAGTCGTGGGCAGAGAGAAACAGAACAAAAATTAAAACGGAAAGATTTTTAAATTGGGCTTGAACAGTGGACAGGGAGTCTGTGGGAAGGGAGTTCCAGACAATGGGGGGGTGGGCAGGTGAATTGGTGGCACGGATGCGAGATGTTTACTACCTCGCTTGGTATGGAGGAGGTCGTGGGTTCGATTCCAACCCTGATACCTGCTGTATATTTGGAGTTTGCGGTGTCTCTCTCCCAGTGGTCGCGTGGATATTCCTGCGGGGTCTCCGGTTTTTCCCCTAAACATTTAGAATGAACGTCATGCTCTTAAGAGTATTTGGCTGCGATACATTTCCACGTGATGATAAGCCACTTGGTTGAGCTATCATTTGTGGCCAGGTCGCTTCTGAAAAAGAGCTATAGAGCTAGGCCTCGGCAAGGTAAGGTAATTGACCCTTTTTACCGAGTAAAAGGGTAAGGGTAAAGGGTATAGGTGTTGACCATGCCAAGGGGTAAGGTAAAGGGTAGGGTAAAGGTACCACGGAAGAATGATCCAGTAGGGTAAAGGTAGCGCGAAGCATTACCCGGTAAATACCTTGTTAACCGTACTCTTTGGTTGACCGCTCGCTAATAGCTCCATGGCGCAGTCCGTGGCCTCCATTTGAAATTGGAGTCATTGATGTGGGACCAGATGGAGACGGACCACGTTCTTGAGGTAGAGGATGAGGTCCAGGATGCCAGCATTTCCGGGGTCGCTGCGAACAGCAATCGAAATAGGCAGCGGCATGCGTTCCCGTGGGAGCACACGCACGATTGGATGGAGGGTGATCCTCATGTGCAGCAAGGCAAGCGGCAGTGCGTGCACTTCCGCAAGTGGTTTTCCTTCGACACGAACGCGTCGGGGTGGAAAGCCCACCTCAAGAAGCACAACGTGCTCGCCCCCAGGTGCTCGCCCCAGGCAGGCGATACAGCAATCCCGGATGGCCTCCTGGTAAAATTTGAGAACGCGGTGGTTGATTTTGTTATCCAAAGTGCAATCTCTTTGCGAGCCGCAGGCAGCGACAAGTTCAAGACCTTGGTCCACACATTGACGCAGGGATACAAGGGCCCGTCGAGCCGCACCGTCATTTGCAGGATTGTCGAGCTTCACGCCATCATGCTGCCCATCGTCGGGGCGTTCTTCTCCAACCTGGACGTCGCCATCTCGCTCACCATCGACGGGTGGTCGAACCGCAACCTGAAGGGATTTTGGATGGTCACGGCGCACTGGATCGACGCCAAATCTGGTGCGTCGAAATCCATGCTGCCGATGATCCTCGATGTGCAGTCCTGAAGGGGTGTCGGCAAGCGCATTGGCACCGCTCTGTTTGAGCACCTCCTAAGCCTCGGGCGCAATGTCTCGACCAAGCTGCTCGCTGTCACCAGCGACAATGGCTCCGATGCGATCAGTGCTGTCAAGACGTTGTTCGCCCTGGTCAACGCGGACGCCGGATATGAGCAGTTGCAGGCTTGCCACCATATTCGCTGCACGAATCATTCGGTCCAGATCGGCGTCGTCCAAGTTCTCAAACTGATCAAGTCGACCAACGCCGAACTGCGCGAGGCGCTCGTCGATATCAGGTGCAGCAAGGCCGTCCGGCAGTCGTACCGCCACGAGGCCGAGATCGCCAAGCTCGCCAGTGAGGAGCCGACGCACCAGGACTCACCGACCAGGTGGAATTCGACGTTTAACGTGGGCGACGACGCCATCAAGAAGCGTGTCCCATTGGACATTATCATGGCGCGCTTCCAGGATGTGATCGGCATCGGTGCTTTCTCTGAACTGCAGTGGGCAAACATCGAGGGCGTGACAGCATTCCTGCGAATGCCGCGCCAGGTCACGACCTCGTTGTCGGCGGACCGCAAGTCGACATTGGATCTCGTGCCGGTGGCGATGGAGCACCTGATCCGTCATTGCTATTGCAGTGAAGCCGCTCTTAGAGCGATCGATGAGTCCTTGGCCGCGACAGGGATGAAGGCCGAGCTGGTTGCGGTCCCGTGACTTCCTGGTTAAGGAACCCGCCATTGTGGCGTCCTACTTGAATCCACAGCTGCCGAAAACAGCAGACCGAGACGAGCTGGCTACACTGAAGGCCACGGTCCGCTCTGTCCTGCAGCATCGCTACTCGGACGTGCTCGCGATCCCGCCGACGGCAGTCGCTGCCCATATGGAGGAGGGGTCGCTGTTCAGCGCCCTGTTCAGCAACATCGGCAGTTCCATCGACGACGGCGATGAAGTCGATCGTTTTCTGAGCATAGGCGTCACGACCGCCAGCGCCTTCATTGACGTAATGCGGTGGTGGTCTCTCCGCAAAGAGCTGCTCCCCGCCCACTACTAGATGGCCTGTGACTATTTGGGAGCGCTGGAGACGTCAACTCCCTGCGAACGCGCGAATAGCGGAGCCGGGCTGGAGTTCACGCGCGTTCGCCAGTCGCTGTCATCGACGCTCTTCATCCAGTCCATGTGCTTGCGCTCGTGGATCGCGGCCGGCTACCTGAAGGTCCTCTGTCTAACCGGGTCGGAGCGGCGCAGGATCTTATTGCCCGTCGTTCGGGGTTCACGGCCGGCTGCCTGAAGGTCCCCGGTCTAACCGGGCCGGAGCTGCGCAGGATCTTATTGCCCGTCGTTCATCTGAGGACGACGGCAATGACGAACTTCATCAGGTTGTTGATGGGATCGTCATCGACCAAGACGACTGGGACAAGGAGGTTATGGACAGCCTCAACGCCCGATTCGAGAGTATTCTATACGAATAAACCTTTTTCGTGTGTAGTACCCCGGTAATTGCCCTGTAATTGGGTAATTTGTATGGGGTAAGGGTAGGCTCGTTGTTTTAACTTTTCACCTTACCTTGCCGCGGACTATATAGAGCTCAGTGGGCCTTACCCGGTAAAACATAAAAAGTTTATTTTGTGGAATGAGCGACCTCCCGGTGAGCAAAAGTTAACTTTAGGGGGGCAGGGGAGGTGTGTGAGCAGACCTTGGAGTTGGCCACCTCCTGCGATTCCGTTGCGTTTAGCGCTGCTTTTTAAATCCGATTTGTATTGCGATTTTTCCTTTTCACTCGGCACATTCGTTAGCGGCGTCCCTTCTTCCCCCTCCTCCCACGCCCGGCCCACCCGACGCTTCAGCGCTCACCCGCCAGAAACCACGACGTCTCATTAGCGGCGCTCTTGCCGCCGTGTCGTTTGATTACACGGGTTTTTCAAAATCTCGTAACCCAAGATGCCTCGCGTGAAAATAAATAAAAGAAAGCTTCCTTTTGTCGTGCCCCGAGAATTAATTAAGAGCACATTTTTCAGAATTTTTCTTTGGTCGGTGACGCTTCATGGAGCCTGGGATGAGCTGGCGTCTCTTCTGCAATTAACGTCCGGTCTCCCTTAATTGGTCTTGCATGCACAATATAATGCACGCGGCTCCTACGCATGATTATCATGCACAGCATCCCAGCGCCCCCTTTATATTGACAAAAAAAACAGAACTCCGTCAATTATTGAAACCATCGGGTCGATCGTTCCAGCTCAAGGATCAACCGACGTTACAAAATAGGTTCTTACATTTGAGTTGACACATTTGGGTGTGCCTGCGTCGTTCCTCATATGACGACAGCCTGTTCGCCCGTCCACTCGCTCTCCCACTCACTCGCTCACTCACTCGCCCACTCACCTATTCACTCGCCCACCCACTCGCTCGCTCGCTCATCCACTCGCTCGCCCACCCACCCGCTCGCCCACCCACCCGCTCGCCCACCCACCCAACCAATCAATCACCCACCCACTCATTCACCCACCCACCCAATCACCCAATTACCCACTCACCCACTTACCCACCCACCTATCACCCCACCTACCCAGCCACCCACCCAGGAAAGCCCCGAGTCAGTAGAGGGAAAGTGCTGCCCCCTATTTGTCTGTACGAGATGCCAAATGAAATGATATCAGAAGTAGTTTTGTGATATGCGCTTCCACGGGATATTTTCCAACATGGGGATGGAGCGGGATGGGGGAGCGGCCCTATGAGATTTTCGAATGAACGCGACGTGATGCCGACATCACGGTCAGAAATAGCAGTGGGCACGGAAAATCACTCATGTGGATGGGTTATGTAGCTGTCTCCAACTTGCGTTTGTCCTCATAAGGCATATTTTTTTTATACTAGCATTACAGTAGCCAATGGGTAGCGGTAAGGTAACGCCAAAAGCGTTTTGCATGTTTGCAATTAGTCCTATTTTTCATCGTTCATGTCTCTAGGGTTTGGGAAACCTTTTGGATCAATGGCGCCGTTCTTCTCTCAGCTAAGAGCAACACGACTTTACACAAAAGTTTTAGTTCGTTATTCGATCATCTGCACGAGAGTTACCGTGACCCCCACATTGACGGACGGATGGACGGACGGACGGGAGAACGGATGGACAGACGGACGGACAGACGGACGGAGCGGAAGGAGCCAATGCATTGACACTTTCAACCTTGGCCTGGGAAGCGTTATTTTATTTTTTTAATCAACAGAAAGAGGACTCCTCTCGCGAGGGGTGTGCCAGATAAACAGGTGCGCCCGGCGCCAGAGAGCCGGCGCCGAGGTGGCCGGCGCTATTTGCCGCGGGAACTTGGGGTGCCCCAGCCTGTGCAGATGGGTTCCGGTGACGCAGACAGCCGGTCCTTGCCGGGATGTCCCAGCTCTCCGCTGGTGTCCGCCCCGTGCCGTCGCAAGGTTTGCCAACTCTTAGGTGCGACCCCAGACGGATATCTGACGCTACCTTAAGGGGGCGGTGGTTGGGTGTGGGTGGGTGGAATAACAATAATAATAATTCAGTTTCATATCGCGTCATTCATGCAATCGCATTTCACACCGTACAATGATTACGTACATAATCATATTGAGGGCAAATTCCTATTTAGAGCAATTTCGTAAATGCATTGTCTGGAGCAATGTTAGCGTAACCTGCGCCCTGGTCCGCAAGGCCACGTGGGAGGTGTCCCGCGGAGCTGTTGAGGATCTGATTATTTTTCCACGAACACCGCCACACCGCGCCAGGTCCTAATTCATGGCTGAGTCGACCTAGAAGAGGCCTAGGACCGTTTAAAATATTCGCGAGTGTTTATTGGTCGTGAGCGGGAGTCGAACTCGGGTCGCCGCGTTCATAGCACAGCGCGCTAACCACTAACATTCTCACTCCCCACATTGTGCACCCCCACACACACACGCGAAACACACCGTACACAACACACGCAGCACACGCAGTACACATGAAGCATACACGGTGTACATGCACCACTCGTGCACACACAGTGTACACAACACACGCAGCGCAACGCAGTACACACGTTAAACACACCCACCACTCAAGCTCCTGCCCTTTGGAAGTGAAGTTTTATTTCTTCTCAGAGTTAGTGCCCTTGCCATTCCACGTCTCATGACACTCGAGTGGATGAATTTACATCGGCAGTCAACATCTAGATGCCCTGCTTTGTGCCCGTGAGTAGCGTCTCTGTGCCCGATGTTCGTGCACCGCACTCCCCGTGGCCTGGGTTCAACTCCCAGTCATCGAGCGAGTCATCGATCGATGAGCATCGTTCCTTAAGCTCATCATACACGAAGCGCACCGTGTGTCCAGGAGTCGATGGTTTTCGCCTCGTAAATGTCACGTGTTTGGTGGAGCGTTGGTGCAGTGGTCAGCATGCTGCGATATTAACTCGGCGACCCGTGTTTTGATTCCCAGCCACGGCTGACATCAGTGGCAAGTGATGTCAGTACTGGTCCCGACCTCCACCCCCCTTCCACTGCCCCCCCCCTTCACTAACCCGCACTGACCAGAATGTTGAAGTATGGTCACAAACCCACAAGGCTGACATGGTATGGAGAGCACTTCATCCGTAAGTGGATTTAGAATTGCTGGATTTTGTGTTTTTCTAGTTTGTATGTATATCACTGTTGGTGACCATGATGTTGATGACAATTATGATGATATTGTTGATGATAACGAAGCCTACGAACATGGTTTGCTGGGTGTATGCCTTTTGAAGGCCACACCGCTCCCCATCACATGCAACGCCAGCCTCAACAGGCGCTCACCCAAACATCGCGTCACCCCTCGTGGCCATTAACTCCAACACTCCGCGCTCGTTTTGCCGTTGTCGCGGTTTCGCTCAGCTGATGCGCAGCGTGATCAGCGACGTCACGTCGCTTTGGCGTGCGACCCGATCGGGCGGGGGTTCCGCGGCCGGCGATCCCGCGGGGGGCTCAGGTGGCGGGGGGCACCCCGGTCAGCGGCCGTGGAACCCCTGGGAGCACGTCTACTCGCTCTGCAAGGCCGGCCGGGCGCCGCACGTGCCGCAGTTCAACGGCTACGGGAAGTACGTCGTGCGTCTCTACTGGATGGTAAGGGCGGCACGGAATCGATGGGCGCCGTCGCCGCGGGGAGCCTGCCGAGCCTTTTTGTTGCCCGTGCCCACCTCGCCCGCCGCCCTTGGGCTGGGGAGCAGTCGTAGTTGGAGTCGGTTCCGGGAAAAGGGGCAGCAGCGAGGGTCGCATGGCGGCCGGGAAAAGGGCAAGGGATGGCTGGAGGGGGCATGGCTCGTGAGCAGCAGGAAGGAGGGAAGGAGGGGGGGGTGCTGGGCAGGAAGGGTAGGAGGAGGAGAGGGAATGACCGGGCCAAGATGTCGAGGGATGATGAGAGGGTGGTGATGATGATCAGAATCAGAATCTTTGATTATCTTGGAGAAATCCGATGAGCTATGAAGCTCGTTTTCACAGATGTCCAGTCGGGGTGGGTCAGAAAATGACAATAACAACAATATAAGAAAAAAAAAACCTTGGCGTGTCAAACTATAGGAAAGGTAAACAAATGACTAAAAACAAACAAATTAACTAAAGCTAACGCCCACTGAGCTGTTAGTTATTTTTTCAGAAGCGACCTGGCCCCAAGTGATAGCTCAACGAAGTGGCTTATCATCATCACGTGGAGGGTAGAGAGGGAGAGTACAGAAGGAGCCAGCGAGCAGCAGTGAGCTGTATGGAGGAGCAGCGTCCATTTTCACAGTAGGGCAGCAACACAGAAGTTACCGCGATGTACGGGAGGCTTCCTCCGCCTTATATCTCAAAGATAAGTAGCAAAATAAATGAGCAGACAATTAGCCTCCTTCGCACATCCCTTCTTCTTACAAATCCCATCAGCCACACATCATTGCTTGTCTGGAGAGGTCAGCGCTAACGTTGAGCACTGAGGAAGACTGCTCAGTCGACCAGGACTTTGCCGACTCAACATTCCGATCAGAATGTTCAGATTCCACGGGAAGGTGACCACAGCCCCAGGTATTCATTAAGGATGACGATTAGTCAGTCAATCAATCAACCAATCAATCCGTCAGTCAGTAGTACAGTCAGGCCATCAATCATCCAATCAATTGGTCAATTAGTGAGTCAATTTGTCAGTCAATAAACCATCCAACCATTCAATGTCTCGTGTTCGTTCATACCATTGAGCCTTGGTTCTCCACACAAGGAAGGAACAGCTACCCCGATTCCTGCCATTACAGCTTTCAGTGCGGGTAATTTTCAGGAGTCAGATGTTGGCACCTGGTGCCAGAGGGCCTTTAACGTCCACTTTCACGAAGGAGGCGGCCTGGATGGCTGCGAGGTCTGAGCGCTGTGCTGGCACCACTGAGACCTTTAGGTTCCAATCCAGATGTCAGCCGCCCGACCGCGATTACAGCACATTCTCACTTGCGTCGAGCGAGTTGATGGTGTCAGCCCGGCCACCAACGACTTGCGTCGAGACTGGTAGACTCACACAGAGACCCATACATTTGCATAGAGACGCATAGGCTTAGATAGACCCACGTCGAGACCCCTAGATTTGTATCGACTTAAGTTCTCAAGTATAGTGAGTTGATGGTCTCAGCTCGTTCACTAATGAGACCATTAGACTCACAGAGAGACCCACATACCTATGTATACTGAGTTGTGATTAAACAGTTATCGAGTGCAGTAATTTGATATTTTCAGTCTAGTCAACGCCCACATTTGTGGTCCATACATTTATTTAGAAAGTGTTTACAAATGCAACAACTTCTCCCAATAATAATAGTAGAAAAAAGCAACAAAATTGGAACAGCTACACTGAGCCTGCACGGCATGGACGCGCACGCTTTCTCCAGCGTTATTCACGTCGACAAACGCGAATGTTTAATGGGAGTTCGATTGAGGAAAATAAAGGCATCCGATTATAATGCGAAACAACAACAAACGACGCCGAGGATTGTACAAGACGGGCACTTCCCGGTTGAAAGCATAACTGTTCTGTGAGTCACGTGTGACGCACGTTGTGAGTGAGCGTGCACACAGGCTATTGGGGGGGGGGATCTTTGTCCGTGTGTACATGTGCGCGTTTGCCTAAACACACGTGGGCAACCTACGCGTGCACGTCTGCCTTGCCGGCCGTGATGGGCGCTCGCCAACGGCCTTGCGGGGGCTATACGGGGGAGCTCTGTGCGTGCGTCGCGTGTCAGGGCTGCTGGCGCCGCGTGACGGTGGACGACACGGTCCCGTTTGACGAGGCCCACCGCGCGCTGCTGCCCGCGTGCACCGGGCCCGCCGAGCTGTGGCCCGTGCTGCTCACCAAGGCCATCGTCAAGCTCGCCAGCGTGCAGTAAGCGGCACACACCCACCCCCACTCACCCCACCCCACCGTCTGTCTGTCTACGTTCTGTCTGTGCCTGTCTGCTCGCCAGCGTGCGGTAACGATCCCACCTACACACTCCACCGTCTGTGTGAAGTCTTGTCTGTTCGCTCTTCCACCTGTCCATCCATCTGTCTGTTAGCCTATTTGTCCGTCTATTAGGCTATCTGTCAGTCTGACTGTTAGCCTGATTGTCCATCTATCCGTCCATCCGTCTATCCGTCATCTGCCCGCCGGTTGTTATCTCCCTCTCGTACGTATACACACACACGCACATTTATCTAGGTCTCCAATCGTTTGTGTGTCAGATCGTTGCTAGCGCATGCATCTTCCCCTTCCAGGCCCCCATTCGTCCCATCTCGCCCCATCTCGCCACGTATTCTCCGTCTTGTGTTTTTTTTTGCGCGCGCCGCCGCTGCGGTCTCGCTCGGTTATTCACGAAGCTGAGCGGCGCCGTGGCCCGCGGGGGGCGCGGCGGGGGCCGAGGTGGCGTGCCGCCCCTCCGTCATGACGATCGAGCCGTCCTCCTCACGCGGTCCCTTGCCGGGAGACCCCCATACCCCCCCATCCCCCCTCCGCGCCTTCTCCCCCCCCCACCCCCCGCGCCCAAGGATTATTTGTCAGGCGCAGTCACGATTGACCGCGCAGATTCGGGCGGATTGAGGCCGTGTGGTGGTTGCGGGCGGGTGGTCACTGGGGTCTTCCCATGAAGAGAGAGGGAGAAACGAGTGACCTTTGTGATCTTGTTCGTTAAAGAAATTCGAGCTGTTTGTTGCTGTTGTTGTTTTGTGATAGGACATTAGGGGAGCGGTAGTGTAGCGTTAGCACGTTGTGTGCTACAAACCCGCCGACCCGGGTTCGATTCCTGCACACGGTCCAACAACACCAGTGGAGACTATCTGAACCGGTCCTGGGCCTCCCCTAGATCGACTCAGCCTCAAATAAGTAGCTGGCGCAGTGTGTAAACATCATCACTGGGGAGACAAAGGCGGCCAGGCGTGGTGCTGGCCACCCACCCCTTCGTGTGTTGTGCTGGCCTGCATAGGTGCTCGCTAACAGCACTTGCCCCAACAGTCTATTAAGGCTATACGGGGGATCTTTCGTCTTTTTTGGTACCACATTGGCAGTGGCGTACAATCGCCACTTTGGATATTCCCTCCCATTGTCCCCTATTTCCACGTCCTTACAGTAACCTTGCTCATTTCTAGAAATGTGTTAATCGCTGTTATCTTTACGGCTTTGCCAGCGCCGTCTGTTGCTGTCTACGGGGCGTTTTCGGCCTTTGAGCCTCTGCTTGGCTACCGCGGCATTTAAATATAAACAAGCAAAATAAAACAACTCGCCGGCGATGTTAGCCATGGCCGGGACTCGAACCCAGATTTAATGGATTTATAGTGCGTTGCGCTAACCACCCGCACCGCAGCCCCGCCGCCGCTCTGATTATAAAACGGTCACGAACACGTTTGTGTATATTTTTTGTTTTGCGATAAATCAATGAAACACGAATACATTCAAAAGCACAAATGCAGTGAAGGAGGGCGGTGGGGTGGGGTGGGGGAGGGACATCGCGTCCAGAGGACGGTGGAGTTGTCCAATCATGGTAATGGGAAACGAGCTGCACGGGAAGCAGAGCTAAATCGATCCGATTCAGAATGATATCGCTTCTCAGTTGCAAACCGGGACTGCTGCCGCAGCAGCGGCGTAATGCTCAGAAAGCGCACTGGACTTACGATCCAAAGGTCGCCGGTTCGATTCCATCTCCCTGTCCGTCCGGCAGTTGAATCGATGGTGCAAGTTTCTCAAATGCCCCAACCACCCCCCCCCACACCCCCGTCCACCCAGCTCTGTAAATGAGTTCACAACATATTCTTAGCTCTTTCGGTAAAGTCACGTTGAAGGGGAAACAACAAAATAATAAAATATATATAAAACCAATAAAAATTCTCACGACGTTTCGACCATAACACCGTTTGTGTTATGTTTGTGTTATGGTCGAAACGTCGTGAGAAATTTTATTGTTTTATATATATTTTATTATTTTGTTGTTTCCCTTCAACGTGACTTTACTGAAAGAGCTAAGAATATGAATTACGGCAGTCACGAAAGCTTTAAATCAGAGTTCACAACAGCTAAGTCGATTGGCAGGTCGCGTCCGGTGGGGTAAAGTGTGGGTACTCCTGCCTCCTCTAATACGTCTGGCCAGTGTGCACGAGTAGGCCAAGTAACCTCGAAAGTGGCTCCTTTTAGTGGAAGACCTTCAGCCAGCAGTGGCGTTAGAAAGAAATTGCAGGACTGTACTTTTACCTAAATGCGACGGAATGTCAAGGTATTCCTTTGAAGTGGTGGTGGTGGTGGTTGGTGGTGATTGTGGTGGTGGTTGTGGTGGTGGTGGTGGGAGTCGCCTGCCTTCGAAAATGGAACAAGAGCCGAAAAATGTGCACAGAAGCACGGAGAGGTTTTTTTCAGACGCAACTTCACCGCGTCTGCCGGGCATCACCGGGGGGCTTTGAGCCGCCGTGCCCATTCTCCTCCCCAAAAGCACCGGCCCCGGAGGGAACGCTGACAAATGGACGGCTGCGGCCCCGCTCGGCGCGGAGCCTGCCAGAGACGGCGCTCGCTCTGTGCCTCCTCCATCACTTAACCCGCATCAGCGTAACTCACGTGGAGCCCTGGGGGTGGGGGGGGGGGGGGGTGGTAAGGGGGGGGCACCCCCGACTCCACCGAAACGCCGGACGGATCTATCGCTCACGGCACCACCGCCACTGCCACGCAGCCGGGTAGCCTCAGTCCTTTCCCGCCGTGTAACAATGAAGCCATTTGGTTATCTTTTTTTTCTCGAGATGTAGCCCCGAATTTTTTTTTTGCTTACGCCACCGCTGGCGGAGGATAGAACTTCCACTCGGGGGAGCTCCAAGATAACCCACTCCTCTCGAGCGGTATTTGGCCTACTAAAGGTTAACCATTGCACCAGGGTAGCAGCGTCCCTGTCATATATCACTGCGGGAAAGTATAACGAGAGAACGTAATGTTAAGCAGTGTGATAGCGGTTAGCGTATTCCGACAGAAAGCTGGGGACCTGAATTCTACTCACGGTCGTGGCGAGCATTTAACCGCGAGCTGTATCTGGGCGGCTGAGACCTAGATCCGAACCAAGGCTCTCAGCGGTGCTGGCTGGGCAGGGTCTTCTGCCACCCCACAAAGGCACGCAGCCACCTCTACCACCCCATGTATGTACGGACGATCTCCCAGCCGATCGTTCTCCGCAGGCCCGCGTTGGTGGCACGCGGTATTGTCTCGGTGAGATGGGGACAAGCGCTGAAACGGACCGTGAGCGGTCGACATCGTTTTGGATGGAAGCCGATGCCATAGATGGTGGAGGAAGTATTGCTAATGCGCCAGAAGAGCCACCTTCTGTTCTCAGGTCTGGCCAAGTGTGATTATAGGAAAGGCCAATCAAAAATCACGTGCTGTGGAGATGCCACCGGTTACAGGGCTGGAGGAGTAGCGGCAGATCGAGGGTGAGGTGAGAGGGTGCATGAGGATCAGGGGCGGAGCCAGGATTTCAGGCCGGGGTGACATTCAACAAATTTTAATTTCAAGAATGATTAGATGGTCAGGCTGTTGAACTAGACGCCATCGGTTGGCGACACACTCTGACAATGCAGTTGCACGGAGTCCGCCAGACCGAGTGTCGTACACTTACACGCAGAATGTCACCCCCCCTGTCACCCCCCCTGGCTCCGCCCCTGATGAGGATGGTGCACCTCTGATTAGCACGGTTTGGCTAGGTATGGTATGGTCCTAAAGAAGTTCAACACATACAGGCAGACAATAGGAGCTCGTAGAGAAAGAAAATCCGAGCAGCTGAACCCATGCAGTGATTCGACATCTGGTTTCGAAGACGTACGAGCTGAGGCTGATATTGGATGGTCTGAGATGGCGTGAGTGGTTTGAGATTGCGATGGCTTGAGTGGCATGAGATGGTCTGAGCTGGTTTGACATGGCTCAGTATCATCACCCACATCGGCGAATTGGGCAGACTGTTCCTGCTGTTGTCAGAGTCTGTAGGAGAGTGGCGGCCGGCATGCACGCGCGTCTTGTCGCTCGCACGTCTGTGGTGGGTGCTGGTCGTGTGTGGATTGGGGGAGAGTCTTTTGGGACATGAGGTGTTTTAACATCGCTTCTGTTACATGCATGTGTATATGTGTACGTGCGTACGTGTGTTAGCTTATGTGTGGAGCGGTAGTGTAGCGGTTAGCACGCTGCGCTATGAATCCGGCGATCCGGCTTCGATTCCCGCTCATGGCGAACACCCGTGACGATTATCTGAACCGGTCCTGGGCCTCCACAAGGTCGACTAAGCCTCAAATGAGTACCTGGCATGGTATGTGATAATCTACACCGGAGAAACAAAGGTGGCCAGGCATGGTGCTGGCCACATCATCCCCCTCGTGCGCTATGCCGCCATTAAGTAGGTGCTCGTGATCAGCACTTGGCCAAACAGCCTGTAAGGGCCTAGACGGGGAATCTTTGCCTGGCATCCCATGATATCTGTCTCGTGACCCTTTTCCACCCAGTGCGGTCTCAGAGTGCACTTAGCCTGGCAAAAGTGGCTTGCTGATGTCACAGCACTTAGTGCATTTCCACTGGCTATGTTCTTGTGGGATATGTGTACACGTGTTAATGTGCATACGCTTGTTTGTGCACGTATGTGGGGAGCATGACTGCAGCGGTGAGAAAGCTGCACTACGAACCCAGCGACCCGGGTTCAATTTCCGTTCACGTCCAACATCAGTGGCGATTATCTGAACCGGTCCTGGGCCTCCCCTCGTGTGCAGTGCCAGCCTTCATAGGTGCTGGCTAACAGCACTTGCCCTAACAGTCTGTTAAGGCTTTGCACATATCTGTCTGTCCGTGACAGGGTGTATGGGGAGTGTTGGCGCAGTGCTTAGCGCATTGCGCAATTCCCG